ATCCATCCGCCTTGGCCTCCCAAAGTGCTGGGATTACAGACATGAGCCACCACACCTAGTCTTCGGTTTTTTTCTTAGTTTATCTAATGGTTTATTGATTTTGTTTATCTTTTTGAAGTACAAGCTTATTGTTTCATTGATCGTTTATGTTGTTTTTTAGTCTCAATTTTGTTTATTTCTGCTTTGATCTTTATTATCTCTTTCCTTCTACTAATTTTGGGTTTGGTTTGTTCTTGCTTTTCTAGTTCCTTGAGATGCACTGTTAGGTTGTTTATTTAAAATCTTTCTATTCCTGATGTAGGCAAGTTTATAGCACTTACTGTGTATTAGTTCGTTTTCATGCTGCTGATAAAGATGTACCTGAGACTGGGTAATTTATAAAGAAAAAAGAGGTTTAATGAACTCACAGCTCCACATGGCTTGGAAGGCCTCACAATCATGGCAGGAGGTGAAAGACAGGTCTTAAATGGCGGCAGGCAAGAGAGAGAATGAGAACCAAGTGAAAGGGGTTTCCCCTTATAAAACCATCAGATTTCATGAGACTTATTGACTATCACAAGAACAGTATGGGAGAAACTGCCCCCATGATTCAATTATCTCCCAGTAGGTCCCTCATACAACATGTGGGAATTATGGGAGCCACAATTCGAGATGATATTTGAGTGGGGATGCAGCCAAATCACATCATACTGTTATAAACTTGGCTCTTAATATTGCTTTTGCTGTGTTTCATTGGTTTTGTTACATTGTACTTTTGTTTTCATTTGCTTCAAGGAATGTTTAAATTTAATTATTAATTTCTTTCTTCACCAATCAGTCATTCCGAAGCATGTTGCTTAATTTCCATTCATTTTTATAGTTTAAGCGTTCCTCTTGGTATTGATGTCTGGTTTTATTTCATTGTGGTCAGATTATGTATTTGATATATTTCCATTTGTAAAAAAATTTGAGACTTTTTTTGTGTTCTTAACATATGGTCAATCCTGGAGAATATTCCAGGTGCTGATGAAAATAATGTATTATATGCTCTGCAGCCGTTGGGTGAAATGTTCTGTAAATATTTGTTAGGTTCATTTGGTCTACAGTGGAATTTTAAATCTGATATTTATTTGTTGATTTTCTGTCAGGATGATCTCTTTAATGCTGAGAGTGGAGTGTTTGAAACCCTCAACTATTGTTGCATCGGGATCTATCACTCCTTTTAGATGTAATATTTGCTTTATATATGTGGGAGTTGTATGGTTGGGTGCATATATATTTACAATTGTTATATTCTCTTGCTGAATTGACCCCTTTATTGTTATACAATGGGTACTTGTTTGCCTCTTTTTACAGCTTTTAACTTAAAGACGTTTGTTTTGTCTGACATAAGTATAGTTATTTCTTCTCACTTTTGGTTTCCATTCGCATGAAATAACTTTTTCCATCTTTGTGCTTTCAGTCTATGTGTGTCTTTGCAGTTGAGGTGAGTTTCTTGCAGGCAGTATATATTTGGGTCTTTCTTTATCCATTCAGCCAGTCTATATTTTTCAAGTGAGGAATTTAATCCATTTACATTCCAGGTTAATATGGATAAGTGAGAACTTTTGTCATTTTATTGACTGCTTTCTTGTTGTTTGGTATTCCTTTGCTCCTTACATCTTCTCTTACTGTTTATTTTTGTGGTTGGGTGTTTTTCTGCAATGATAAGGTTTGATTCTTTTCTCTTTCTCCTTTGTGTATTGGTTGTACCTGTGAGTTTTTATAGTTTCACATACTTTTATGATGGTGGTTATTGTCTTTTCACTTCCAGATGTAAGACTCCCTTAAGTATTTCTTGTAAGGCCAGTCTAGTGATGATAAATTCCCTTAGTTTTTACTTGTCTGTGAAGAGGTTTTGTTTATCTTTTATTTCAGAACTACAGACTTCCTTGGTATAATATACTTGGTTAGCAGTTTTTTCTTTTAATACTTTGAATATGTCATCTAATTATCTCCTGGCCTGTAAGATTTCTGTGGAGAAATTCATTGTTAGTCTAATGGAGATTCCATTATATGTGACTTGATGGCTTTTCTCTTGCTGATTTAAATTCTTTCTTTGTCTTTGACTTTTGACAATTTGACTGTAACATGCCTTGGAGAGAACCTGTGTGGATTGGATCTATTTAGAATTTTTTTAGTTTCTTGGGCCTGATGTCCATCTGTCTCCCAAGACTTGAGAGGTTTTCTGTTATTATTTCATTAAATATGTTTTCCTCACTTTTTTCTTCTCCTTTTAGAATGCCCATCATACAAATATTTGTTTGCTTAATGGTGTCCCATAAATCATGTAGGCTTTCTTCATTTTTTGTTTTGCTTTGTCTGCCTATATTATTTCAAGAGATGTATCTTCAAGTTTAGAAATTCTTCTGCTTGGTCTAGTCTGTTGTTGAAACTCTCAATTGTGTTATTTCATTCATTGATTTCTTCAGCTCTAGGATTTTCATTTCATTCTTTTTAATGATATCTTTTGTTGAATTTCTCATTAAAATCATGAATTATTTTCCTGATTTCATTGAATTGTCTATTCATGTTCTCTTATATCTCATTGAGTCACCTTAAGATTATTGTTTTGAATTCTTTTTCTGGTATTTCATGGATTTCCTTATGACTGGTTTCTGTTACAGGAAAATTATTGTTTTCCACTGGAGGTGACGTGTTTCCTTGCTTTTTCATGGTTGATGCGTCCCTACATTGATTTCTATGCATCTTGTGGGAAAGTCCCCTCTTTCCATTTTATGGAGTAGGTTTTGTAGGGAAGGACTTACTTGTATGAATGGGTCTTGGAGTGCTAGTTCAGTGGGGTGTGTTGGCTTTGGTTCTAGGTGGATGCATTAGTGTAGTCTCTGTGTAGATTCTTCAGCTGTAATCTATACAAGTGGCATTTGCAAGTTTCTCAGTGGCCTAGGTTAAGACAGTTTGCAGTGACAGTGTTGTGCTTTGCCAAGGGTGGGCTTGCCAGGCTATTTCTCATGTCGAGAGTGTGTGTATTCACATGGTAGGTCAGCCAACTGCATTCTGACTCACTGGGGTTGGGACTGTGGGGCTATTACTCCAGCCAGGAGCACAAGCACATGGTTGCTCAATCAACCTGGGGGCATTGCTGCCAGGAGCAACTTGTGGGGCTGTTTTTCAGGCCTAGGATGTGAGTGCACAGTTACTTGGCTGACCTGGGGGTGTGCCCACCAAGGGCAATCTGTGAGACTCTTTCTCAGACCCATATTGGAGATGCAGGGTCATTGGGCGCCAGGAGCATGTTTGTGGGGGTTGAGGGTACTATGGGGCTGTTATGTAGGTTCTGATAGCAAGTATATAGCCATTCCATTGGCCCCGGAGTGTATCAGCTGCTTGGAAGCTCAGGGTCTCCCATATAGAGGAGTATGTGCAGCAGCTTAGCTGACTCAGGAGCATGTTCATCCTGGGCGGGACTGGCAGACTGTTCCTTTGACTGGAAGTGTAGCCAATCCTGGGCCCAGGGTCCACACAGCTGGTTTTGTAGCATTCAGTCACCTATGTGGGCCTTGCATAATGAAAGTGGAGCCTCAGTGCTGGAGAGGTACAGTAGCTACTCGCCCTCAGAGAAGGGTGCACTCCAGAGGTATGGAGTTTCGAGGTGGCTCTGGTTTCATGACGGTACATGCTGCAGCAGTGTGGCTCACAGGGAGTGTGTTGGGGCTGGAGAGTGCATACCTCGTGCTCCTAATCTGGGGCAGTACAACTGCCTGAATTCCCAGCAGCACTCCAAACTGGGCTCAGGGCTTGTGAGGACTGTTTTATTCTCCTGTAGTATGGAACACAGGTGTTTGTTATGGCAGTAAGGGCTGGTAGGGATCTTCTGCTTACCTTTTCCTTGCAACAGAAAGTCCACCCTGTCTCCAGGCCAATCCAATCTAGGCTGTGAGAAATGGGATTTAAGAGGCCATGTGCTTCCAAGCTGCCCTCCTGGACTTTCACCCACCACAGTGAGCCTCCAGCCCTCCACTGTATCCCAGTGCTCTCTTCTTTGACACTCCAGTCAAATATTAGCATTTATACATTGTCCTGGTCCTGTCCTATGGGGGAGACAAGTGCCAAGCATCTCTAGTCAGCCACTTTGCTGGCTTCTCTCTCATATTAGTTTTATGTGCCTATTTTAAATACACACACACACACACACACACACATACACACATATATACACAACTATGTCTACAATAATATTCCAAGGTTACATCTAAGTCATCTAAATGAAACAAGCTGGAGAAAAGAATTCCATTTTGAAATTATTCTACTTGATTCTGTTTCCACTGCCAATTCTCTGAAGGCATATTAATTCTCTGGGCTATTTGGAAGCACTTGAATTATCTGAAGAATTGCCAGATCACTCATCTTCAGCATTTCTTTGTGTAGCATCCAGGAATAATGGCTGAGGGAGTTACATTTTGTTCTCCTTTTTTCTGCACATTCATTCATTTTCTCAGTAGCATATGAAGTGTTCTTGAAACTCATGGCAAATTAATGGGCTTTTCACATAGCATTTTAAAAGATCAGCAAATTTCAGTATTTTAGGACTTACATAACAATGTATTTTTACCAGAACTGGCTTTAAGGTTACAATTAAAATTTTTTCTTTTTCTTTTTCTTTTTTTTTTTTTTGGAAATTTTGAGATTTTTTTCATTTTAAGGTAATCTTAATGCTATTAAATTCACAAATGCTAATTTAAATATCCAATCCTATTTATCTAAAACACACATTGCAAACACACAAATTATCTATTCTTTCCACATGTCAGTGCCCATTCATATCATGGTTTGGAAATGGGAGACTAGATTCCCCTTAAACTGCAAGTCAGCAGGTGTTTCTTTACAGTTAACTTTAGCAAAATTCATACAAAATAGTAATTAACAATGATCTTCTTGTTAACTCACAAGGAAACACCTTCAAAACTGCATTTTGTTAAAATTTCTGTACTAAAATGTAGAAAAACTGAACTACACAAATATTGAAAAGTTAAAAATTCCTTAATTTTTCATTCCTGGTACCACTACCACAATTTACAGGGCAATATACCTGATGTAATGAAAAGAAAAAGAAAAAGACAAAGCTACAACAGATAAAAGACCTCAGGAATGTACATCTAATTGACACTACATTGCATTAATCAATAGCTGCACTTTTTGCAAACTGTGGCTATGACAGTCCTGAACAAGAAGGGTTTCCTGTTTAAGCTGCAGTAACTTTTCTGACTATGGATCATCGTTCCTTCTGTGGCAGATTTTTACAGTTCCTCTAATGCATTTGGGACGACTGTCTCAAAGTAACCTGCAGTTTTCCTGACAACTCCTCGCTCTCTCTCCTGCTAAGAACTGTAGCCCTTTTCTGCTGTTTTTAGAACCTTCTGCTTCCATATCCACCACTTCCACCACCAGATCCATAACCACCACCATAGGGACTGCCCGAGCTTCTTCCACCAAAACTGCCCCCTTTCATGGGTCCATAATTTGACTGCTGTTGTCCACTATAATTTCCAAAATCATTATAGTTCCCACCACCACCATAGTTACCGCCAAAATTTCCTCCTTCATTGTAACCATCATATCTTCCACCACCACCACCATATCCACCACCTTGGTTTCCATATCCTGGTGCACCACCACCATAGCCCCCTCTACTACTATAACCAGGACCACCACCATAGTTGCCACCATCACCTCCAAATCCATTATATCCACCATCACCTCCTCTATAACTACCTCTGCTACCACCACCTCCACCACCATAGCCTCCTCTTTCACCAGAGTTTCCACCACGGCCAAAATTACCTCCGCCACGGCCAAAATTACCTCCACCAGGGCCAAAATTACCTCCGCCACGGCCAAACTTACCTCCACCACCTCCAAAGTTTCCTCCACCACGGCCACAATTACCTCCGCCACGGCCAAAATTACCTCCGCCAGGGCCACAATTACCTCCGCCACGGCCACAATTACCTCTGCCACGGCCAAACTTACCTCCACCACGGCCAAAATTACCTCCACCGCCTCCAAAGTTTCCTCCACGACCCATAAAATTGCCAGATCCACCTCCACGACCTCTCTGTGATCCAGCAGACGGCATCTCTTGTTTAGAAAGGACCTTTTTCACTTCACAATTATGCCCATTAATAGTGTGGTATTTCTGAACAACAATTTTATCAACTGTATCATGATCATCAAAAGTTACAAAAGCAAATCCTCTCTTTTTTCCACTCTGCCTGTCTTCCATAACTTCTATGGTTTCAATTTTGCCATACTTTTCAAAGTAGTCTCTCAAATTATGTTCTTCTGTATCTTCTTTAATACCACCAACAAAAATTTTCTTCACTGTTAGATGGGCGCCAGGCTTTACAGAATCCTCTCTAGAAATAGCTCTCTTTGGTTCCACTACACGCCCATCAACCTTGTGTGGTCGAGCACACATTGCTGCATCCACCTCTTCAACACAAGAATAAGTCACAAAACCAAAGCCCCTGGAACGTTTTGTTTGGGGGTCTCTCATTACCACACAATCTGTGAGTGTGCCCCGCTTCTCAAAATGTTCTCTTAAACTATCATCTGTAGTTTCAAAGCTCAGACCACCAATAAACAGTTTTCTCAACTGCTCTGGTTCCTTTGGATCATGGCCCTCCTCCCCCCGGCGGCGACGGCGACGGCCGGAGTCGGGCTGGGGGCGACCGGGCGGCGGTTTTACCTCCATTTAGAGACCGGACTTGCCTCTTCCAACTCGAGTTCAATATGGGACCCTAAAATTTTTTCTTAAGCACCTTAAGGAATTTCAAATACTACATCAAAAACATCAGTTCAAAAGGCAGTTTTCCAAACAATGTTAATTAATGTTTGTGATACGGGAAGGAGGCAGGGAAGTGTTGGGTAGAGAAGGGGTGGGGGGGAGTGTCCCTGGTGAGGGCTCCACCCTCAGGCCTCTGCCCACAGACATGAGTGAGAACAGGCACTCCTATTTTTATGCTCAAATGTTGCATTTTCAAAGCCCACTCTGGCCCAGCACGCCCCGCCTCCTGTGCCCATATAAACCTGAGGCCTCGGTGGGCACACACAGAAGCAGCTGAACATTGAGACCAGCAGACCAGCAGACCAGCAATGGTAGAATGACGTGGTAGAGAAAGAGAGAAGAGGACAGACGTCCGGATGCCAAGAGTAGTTTGGCTGGGGGTGGTTGGAGAAGAGTCTGGCTGCTGGGCGGCCCGACTCCAGGGGAAAATCTCCTTCCCACTTCATACCCCTCTTCCAGCTCCCCATCATCCTCACTGAGCGCCACCTCCACCACTCTGTAAAACCTGGCACGCTTCCTTTGAGCCCACAAGTGATCTGATTCTTTTGGGACACTGAGTAAGAGCTGGGGATACAGAAGGCTGTCACACTGGCCCTCTGCCCTTGCAATAAGGCAGAGTCCATTGAGCTGATTAACACACAAGCCATCTGCAGATGGCAAAGCTGAAAGGCTTTGTAACCCTGGTGATGCAGGCTGCCAACCAGCCCCTAGATACTGCTGTGGGGCTGACAGCCTGAAGCGCTCACCCTGGCCTCTGCATCTGCCTGTCTGCAGGCTCCCCCAGGGGATTGAGCTGCAGGGCTACTGAGCAGGTGAGTCATTCCCCTGCTGCATATCCTGTGAGGGGAATCAGGGAACTCTCCTATTTCACTTGCATTAATAGTCTGAGAGCTTTTAAATATTGATTCTTTCTGAATTTATTTGCTGGAAAGATGTTTATAAAAAGATGAAAGTAAAGAAACATCAACACTTCTGAATCTTAATAATTTTGTCATTCTGAGCAGAGTACATAGTAATAATAAAACTCACTCTACTACAGTAGATGTGATTTAATTTTCATAATGATATTAAACAGATTCTTATTGAATTCATCTGTGAGCTCTTGGTCAAGCTACTTAATCTCTCTGTACCTGGAATTTTGATTGAATAATTTTGTATTTATCAAGTATGTATGATGTACTACACAAGGAAGAGAAAACAGCTATAAAAAAGAAATGAGAAATATCTTTATATATTTGGTTTTTAAATTCAAAAAAAATAATTTCCACTGTTATTTCAGATTCAGGGGTACATGTGCTGGTTTGCTACTTGGGTATATTGTATGACGCTGAGGTTTGGGATATGAATCATTCCATCATTCAGGCAGTGAGCGTAGTACCCAATAGTTAGCTTTTCAACCCTCGCCCCCTCCCTTCCTCCTCCCTCTAGTAGTTCCAGAGTCTATTATTTCCATCTTTATGTCCACAAGTACACAATATTTAGCTCCTACCTTGTGTATATTGTTATTAAGTGATCTCAGAAAAGCTTTTAATTGAAGTTTAAGTTTTTCAATTGATGTAATTATTTAACTAAATTTTATATTTAAGAGAAAAAAGCAAGTAAAGAAGAGCATGTCTAGTAGGTTTCCACTAATCTAAGAAAAAGAGAGGGATACAAATAAGAAAAAGAGCTAAAAAAAGAACTACCTTTCAAACCTGCAATCCCATTACTGACTATATACCCAGAGGAAATAAAGCATTCTGCCATAAAGACTTATGCATGCATATGTTCATTGCAGCACTATTCACAATAGCAAAGACATGGAATCAACCTAAATACCCATCAATGACAGATTTGATAAGGAAAATGTGGTAAGTATACACCATGGAATACTATACAGGCATAAAAAAGAATGACATAACGCAGGAACACAAATGGAGCTAGAGGCCATTATCCTTAGCAGACTAATGAAGGAACAGAATGTTCTCACTTGTAAGTGGGAGTTAAATGATGAGAGCCCATGAACACAAAGAAGGGAACAACAGACACTGGGGCCTACTTGAGGATGGCAGGAAGGAGAGGATCAGAAAAAACAACCTTGGGTACTAGGCTTAGTACCTGGTTGATGAAATAATCTGTATAACAAACCCTTGTGACATGATATACCTATTTACCTATATAACAAACCTGCACATGTACCCCAGAACTTAAAATAAAAGTTAAAGAAAATCTATGATACAAACCCTCAACAAACTGGAAGACAAAGTGCCTGGTAAGGAGAATTTTTTGTAAATTCTGTAAAAAAAAAAAAAAAAAAAAAAAAAAGTGTACAAATGCAGGAGTCCTCTTTAAGACCAGAAACAAGCTACACATTTCTGTTTTCACAGCTTTCACTCCGCACTGTACTAGAGCAAGGGTGTCCAATCTTTTGGCTTCCCTGGGCCACATTGGAAGAAGAATTGTCTTAGGTCACACACAAAATACACTAACACTAGTGACAGCTGATGAACTAAAGAAAAACATTACCAAAAAAAAAATCTCAAAATGTTTTAAGAAAGTTTACGAATTTGCATTGGGCCTCATTTAAAGCTGTCCTGGGCTGCATGCAGCCCACGGTCATGGGTTGGACAGGCTTGAGAGTCCAGCAAGTACAATGGGCAAGAAAAAGAAACAAAAACCTATGCTTGGAAAGGAGGAAAAACATCATCATACCCAGATGATGTGATTTTTCTTTGCAGAAAAATAAAAAAAAAAACTACAGGTAATTTTTAGAATTAGAAGCACAAGGTTCCTGAATACAGAAGCAATATCCCAAATTCATTTATATTACTCTATACCAGAATCAAGTGGAAAATTTTAGAGCGATTATTTCATTTACAAAAACCATAAACAATATAAAGGATCTAGAAATAAATCTAACAAAAGACATTTAAGGACATTGGGGAAAAATACATTTATTCAAACTTATAGAAGACATAAATAAATGGAGACATACAACTATGCGAGTGAGATGTGAGACTCAATAGCATGTCGGTTCTCTTGTATTCTTGTGTTTAAATTGCCAAGCTAATTCTAAAATATTTATAGAAATAAAAAGTGTAAATTTAGTGTACGACTCTTCTGTAGACTTTTCTGGTATATCAAAACCTGTATAGGGCTAAATGAAGATACATGACACATTCCTGGATAGGCTACCTTAGTCTAGTAAAGATGTCTATTTTCCACAAATGCATACAAAAATTTTACATGGTTTCAGTCAAACCCAGATTGGGATTTTTGAAAAACTTAATGAAATAGTTCTAAAATTTATCTGAAAGAGACAAAATGTCTGAAAGGCAAAGGAAGTTACATAAAAGCATATAAAAACAAACATATGCCTTCTGATCACAAAATTTATGATGAAGTTACAATATTTTGTGTTGTAATTCTAGTACTGCAGATGTCCCAAAGTACTGAATATATAGTTCAGAAATAGACTCTCATTTTTAATATAGTCACCCCTGCTCTCTTTTGATTATTATCTGCATAGAATATCTTTTCCCACTCTTTTGTTTTTAACCTATGTGTGTCTTAGTTTGAAAGTGAGTCTCTAGGGAGCAGTTCCAAGATGGCTGAATAAGAACTGCTCCAGGCTACAGCTCCAACGTGAAAGACACAGAAGACGGGTGATTTCTGCATTTCCAACTGAGGTACTGGGTTCATCTCACTGGGGCATGTTGGACAGTGGGTGCAGGACAGTAAGTGCAGCCCATGGAGGAGAGCCGAAGCAGGGCAAGTCACCCAGGAAGTGCAAGGGGTAAGGGAATTCCCTTTCCTAGCCAAGGGAAACTGTGACACACAGCACCTGGAAAATCGGATCACTCCCACCCTAATACTGCACTTTTCCAAGGATCTTAGCAAACAGCACACCAGGAGATTATATCCCGCACCTGACTCAGAGGGTCCCATGCCCACAGGGCCTCCCTCATTGCTAGCACAGCAGTCTGAGATCTAACTGCAAGGTGGCAGCAAGGCTGGGGGAGGTGCACCCACCATTTCTGAGGCTTGGGTAGGTAAACAAAGCTGCCGGGAAGCTCAAACTGGGTGGAGCCCATTGCAGCTCAAGGAAGCCTGCCTGCCTCTGTAGACTCCATCTCTGGGGACAGGGCATAGCCAAACAAAAGGCAGCAGAAACATCTGAAGATTTAAATGTCCCTGTCTGACAGCTTTGAAGAGAGTAGTGGTTCTCCCAGCATGGAGTTTGAGATCTGAGAATGGACAGACTGCCTCCTCAAGTGGGTCCCTGACCCCCAAGTAGCCTAACTGGGAGGCACTCCCCAGAAGGGGCAGACTGACACCTCACACAGCTGGGTACCCCTCTGAGATGAAGCTTCCAGAGGAATGGTCAGGCAGCAGCATTTGCTCTTCAGCAATATTCACTGTTCTGCAGCCTCCGCTGCTGATAGCCAGGCAAACAAGGTCTTGACTGGACCTCCAGCAAACTTCAACAGACCTGCAGCTGAGGGTCCTGACTGTTAGAAGGAAAACTAACCAATAGAAAGGACATCCGCACCAAAACACCGTCTGTACATCACTATCAACAAAGACCAGAGGTAGATAAAACCACAAAGATGGGGTAAAAACAGAGCAGAAAACCTGAAAATTCTAAAAATCAGAGTGCCTCTCCACCTCCAAAGAAACTCAGCTCCTCACCAGCAATGGAACAAAGCTGGGCAGAGAATGACTTTGACGAGTTGACAGAAGAAGGCTTCAGACAATCAAACTTATCTGAGCTAAAGGAGGAAGTTCGAACCCATTGCAAAGAAGCTAAAAACCTTGAAAAAAGATTAGACGAATGCCTAACTAGAATAACCAATGTAGAGAAGTCCTTAAATGGCCTGATAGAGCTGAAAACCATGGCATGAGAACTATGTGGCAAATGCACAAGCTTCAGCAACTGATTCAATCAACTGGAAGAAAGGGTATCAGTGATTG